CCTTGCAAAATAAGCCCCAAACCAACAGAGGGGCCATCAGAGGAAGGACTGAGACCTGGGGAGTCAAAACAACACCAAGCAGATAAACAGTACAGTAACAGTACAGGACAACAGAGCTATGAAAAACCCCTGGATTTCCTTCCAGCTGGGGCAACCCAGAAATGTAGGGGAGGAAGTTAGGAGGAGGGCGAGTTTGGCCGAACTTGTGGGCTGGAGTCGGGGTAGCAGCTGCAGATCTGGTCCTGGAAACTTGGTTCCATGTTGCTTTTCCACAGAGACTCAGGTATATTCTGAAGGAGGTGAGGAACAAGCCTGGATGGAAGCTTCTTCCTCAGTGCAGGACCCTGTTGGATCTGGGGCCACTCCAGCTTGTTCCCTGCTTTGGGCCGTCCTCTCTTTGGAGACGTGATAGGGGAACTTCCTTTTCTTCTATCGGGGTTCATTTGTCTACGTGCTATGGCTTCTGAATGCAATTTCCTTCCCACTTACTCTTCTGTGTTCCTGCTCAAGTTAGAGGATGGGGTTTTCCCCAGGACGGGGTGTTGACCCTCTAACCAGGAGACGCCCGTATCTTCCCTGCTACTGGCCGGGGCAATAGCCAGAGGAAAGGGAAGGCAAGGAAGGTGGGTAATGCTTGCTGGACCCTTGTTCCCGACACAGAACATGGGCTGTGCAGGAAGGTGCATGAGGCCACAAAGCCCTATGCCTTCGCCTACCCATGATATATGGTCTGACTCTGATCCTCAGGCCCATGAAGCTCCAAATTTACATTTGCCACGTTTAAAATTTCCCCAGGCTATTTGTGACTTTGGAGCCTTAGTGAATTTCCACCCTTTTCTTCTAGATTTTGGATTGAAAAATCTTCTATCTCTTTGTTAGCCTTTCCATAGCTTTAAGATGCAATCTCATGCAAACATCGTCACATAAAGACCCAGAATAACGTTTGATCAAATGGGCAATGTGATGATCCAAATAGACATCTAATTCCCTGTGTTTCTGTGGGAAGTGAATCTGA